GCCACGGAGGGGGGGGGAGGGGGGGCACACGTCACGGGACCTCATACAAGCGATCCACCGGCTCGCTTGTATATTAACGGGCATCGCTGCCTGTTTTCAGATAACAGGCATTTCCCGCTCGTGTAGACACGCCCAGTTACATCCAAGAAGCTTCCGTCCGGCCGTGTATACACAACGGCTGGCCGGGAGGTAGTTAAAGAGAAATTTTAATTACCTATACTCTTGTACACTTTATCACAGATGTTTAAGTTCACATCTAAACAAAAATAATCTGCTCTAAGTGGACAGTTGAGCTACCTTCCAGTTTCTTAAATATATCTCAGACTTCAATGAAGAGCTTTACCTGTCGGACTATGTGTTTTCTCTACCACCCCCCATAGAATTAATGAAGGTGCTACTGACCCAGCCAAATTACCAAGTTATATGTTTAGCCTACAGTATGAAAAAAGGTAGTAAGTGGAAAACACAAACTCTGGTTGTGGTAGCTTTCAAATGGAGTAATAAAGAGATGCATTTCCTTTAGCAATGCAAGATTGTTTTTTGTGTTAACAGATTACATAAAATGTACTACCAGAACATACTTTAAGGTTATTTCAGATAGTTTACAAATTGATAAATGCAGTACCTTGGCCCGGTCTTGGAGTATGAGGGGAAGAAGCAGCAGCCGCAGCAATGATCTCAAGCTCCTGATAGAAAAAAAAAAAAAAGTCAGATGGCTGCCCAAAATCAGAAATGTAACTCTAAAATGACTAAATTACCAGAGTGCAAGCCAGAATACACCGCAGGCTAAAGACGACAGGCTAAACATTTATATATAATTAGGGGGTGCATTTGGCAAGTGTAGGAGTGTGGACAGGGGGTGTCGCAATATGTACCAATACCATACCTGTCTTGAGTAGCAGGCCAGCATCAGCACATGGCCTACAATAGCTCAGTATATAGTAATAGCTCAGACTGCTAGATTTAGCAGTCTTCATTTACATTGAAGACTCCACAAACAAATATGATCCAGTGTAAAGCTGCCGTGAATCAAGGTCATATAACCACAAATTGTAGCAATGCAGGTACTTTTTTTACACTGAGCAGGTAAGTTAGTTAAAGCAGAACTCCAGGATGCACATCACTTTATATTTAAGCTTTTGTTGTATTCCTTGGTTTTAGCTGCCAGTGATGTCACATCCTTCTATTATTAGATCAGTCCATCCTGCAGCCAGTGGGAGGATCTAGTTAACCAGTGTGTCATATCCTGTCAGTCTAGAACAGTGGTTCTCAAACTCTAAAATCAGGACCCACATTTGTCCTTGGTCATTAAGTCGCGACCCGAGTTACACTGCAATGGAGTGCACTGCATTGCAGTACGAGGTGTTCGGGTGCAGGCAATCGGACTGAGTGGGAGGTGCGTTTGAGGTGTCATTCAAATTAAATGGCAATGCAACACAATTCCTTCTTTTCACACCACAAAATGCAGTAGGTGCGAGTACGTGGTACAGTGCATTAATCACATAGGACTGTGCGATTAACTGTACTAGTGTGAACGGACCCTCAAAAACACGGACGGACACACACACACACACACACACACACACACACTTCAAGATCCACCCAGTCTCCCTACCTTAAGAGAACAGGAGTGGATTCTCAGCTTGGGGTCAAGTGTGGGCTGCTGTGCTGGAGTTCCGTCCATATGTGCATTGCTAGAGGCGCCGTGAGCCAGAATGTGATGTCACTCCGGTCCAGGCACCTCTATAGGACACAAGAGGCAATGCAATGTACGTATAGACGGAGCTCACTTATGGCCATACTTCCAGTCCACCCCACCCCTCCTCAAGCTAACATGCAGGGCTGGGCAGCATATTTTGAATGGCTGCTCATCGCGAGAATTGACAGTGCTGCGCTAGAAAAGTGGAAAGCATGTGGCGAACCACTGAAAATGGGGTAGCGACCCACTTTTGGGGTCATGACCCACCAGTTGAGAACCAAGGGTCTAGAGGATATGTTATCCGCACACCATTCTGCTTTGGAATACCATCTTTATTCGTATTCCTTTAGCATGACATGTGAATGTTCTGGCATAGAGAGCAGATGGCATCTCCCTTGAGGCAATATGAAATAGAGGAAGTGGGAGACGTGTATAGGAGCTGAGGGTAGAGATGGAAAGAGCTACAAAGTACTATATGCTCCGTTGACTTTTGTTTTTTTTGGGTTTTTTTGCCAAGTGCAGACACAGGGAATAGATACATTACAGGTGCCTCTGCATGGCGAATTGCCCTGCTTTCAAGTCATCTTTCCTTCTCCTAACAGTCCAGCAGGGCATCTGGCTGTGTGGAATAGTGATGTTCAATTCAAGAACAATTTATTCTTTTGAATTAATTATTTTCAGTGAACTGGATGAAATAATTCATCTGACCAACTGATAACAGATTTAGTTGAAATGGTTCAGTGTTGAATAGGAAAGCAGCTCTGATATGATCCTAGAGAGAGGTCGGCTTCTGCCAGCCCTTCAACCAATCAGCCAGCTAACAGTACACAAAGAATCAGAACTTACAACAGTTTTGAGTCAATAGTACACTGAATTAAAAGGAGATAAGAGATGATGCAGTCTGGATGAGAGGAGATCCTCATTTAGATTGATACTTTAACCTTTTAGGTTGAGTCAGTTCCTGAGCTTGTTCACTTGCTTGTCAGCAGGCTCAACAAGTGAACCAATTAATTAATGTGAAAGATCTGAACTTCCCATCACTAGTGAGGGATAGCAGTGTGCTTTACACAGAGTTCCAGTAGGCAGTTTGATACTGCCTATACAACATCCCCTGCCCTTGATCACGATACTGCCTAAATTGAATTCCTTGCCCTTGATCATGTACCTGAAGATCCCAGGAGGCAATTGGGATTAAAGTCTCCTCAAGCAGCAAAGTCGGTGGATATTTTTACTAGAAGCCACACAAGCCCCTGGTTTAAATGTAGTTTGCAAGTTTCAAACCCTTCCTTTAAAATACACCATTAAACAACCTAATATTTTATTACTTTCCTTTATGGTGATTTTGAATACTAGGGAGGCACAGATACTTTTTGAGTACCAGTGCAGATACTTGGCATTTTCATGCAAACTACCAGGGTTGCAGCAGTTGCAGCTTGGACCTGGCTCTGGCACTCCACCACTGTCCTGAAATCATTAGTCTGTATTGTTTTAGAAAAACTGTCACATGACAAACAAAAATGTATCAGTACTCTACTTGTAAGTACTCGGCAAGTACCAGTACTTGTACTCACAAAACTGGTATCTGTGCATCACTTTATATTCGTACATTAAAACAGAGATGTACAAATCCCAGGAGCTCCGTGTGCTCCTTACAAATGACAGCTGCCTCCTAATTTTTGAATTTTTCTCTAGTGTAGTCTTGGAGCTGGAATGTATCGGTACATGTACTCGTACCGAGTACTGTACTTGGTATCTGTGCAACCCTATTGAATACCATCATCCTTGGATGTGGTGTCACTGGTCATATTCAGACTTTTACATTGTCCTACACCATGCTAGAGAAAGCAAATCCCCTTACTTTGCACTCTGAAATTGAAAGGTTTTTTTTCCCAGTAACTTTCTAAACACAAAGCAAACCTTGTAACAAATAATTTGAAAACATGCACAACCAGCTTGAAGGTTGACTATTTTTCCCCTCAGCAAAAAAAAAAAAAAAAGTTACTGTAATCTTTCTAGTTGAATGCATTAATTTCTATACATTACTGAGGACCTAAACTGGATCTCTAGCAACATAGACTGCAATTAAACTTCCACTCATCCAAAATAAATATATGGAAAAATGGAAATACTGTAAGTAAATCTGAATAGAGTAGCATTCAAAAAGAAACATTATCTGACTCTGATTACAATTTTAACAATGGCTAGCCTAGGATAGTCTACTGTCACATGAACCCAACGGTCCAAATCTATGGTACACCCAAAAAAATAGGCATACACCTAGGAGGAGATCAAAAACAATGGTAACAGTTTATTCTCTAACTGATAGTTTCATAAAGTGAAACTTTTCATGTGACTTGATCATCCCCTCTTTATTAAGAAGAAAGCAGTAAACCATGTCTGTGCTGCTTTCGTCTGTTGGACGACACACACACACACACACACACACACACACATTATACCAACAAACATCTTCCCCCATCTGCTTATGGCAAGTTTAACTCCACAGCAACCAAACTCAAGGCTCCAGCAATAACCTCAAAAACATACTGAATCTGAATGCTACTGTGTGGGGCCATGGAAGAGTTTAACTAGAAAGAAATGGATAACAAATGAGGACATACACTTTTTTTTTTAACAGAGGTTTTCCTGCCCAGTTTATTGTTGAAAGCCCCAACCGGTTTCAAACAAGTAAAAATACAGTCGAGTATCAGTAAGTCAGCCATGCCAAAACTCACCAATTTATTCAAATTATATCAAAGATGACAAAATGCTTCTTACAGCACAACTGAATTGTTTGCATATTATATATGCTTACCTTGGCCTTCTTTGAGTCTGGATCAAACCTTTCCAGAATCTGCTTAGCCGTCTTGTAAGTTTCTTTCTCCATCACTTCTTCAAGCTGCAATTGAACATTACAAACGAGAATAAAAAAATAAAATACATGTTTGTTAAATATAAAATCTCTTGAGAAAAATCAAGAAAATGCAAAATGTCAGCCATTATGCAACATGGACAACTTCACAAAGTAGATTCTTTCAAAAGGAGGAAGGTCAATACAAGGCAGCATGTACAGTTTTTGCATACAGAAGGAAAATATTCCAAAAACATGATGCCACTTATTTTCAAAGTAATGCACGGGAACATAACTGAAGTTATTACTCAGTCTGGTCTGATACCTATTGCCTTTTCCAGAGAGGACAGATACTGAGGCAAGGGGGGAGAGATGCATCAGACTTAAGCTGACCATAGAGATTATCTGAAGATTTTCTATGGTCAGATGGAAAAAGTAAAACAGATTCCTCCACCTACGCTAAAAACTGTGTGGATGGAGGAATCTCCCACTGGGCCAAGTTTCAGTATCTTGTTAAGCGAGCTTGGCTGCGCGGGAGTCTTACCAGGGGTCCCAGAGGCGGGCAGCGTGCGGTCAGGAAGGAGCCGGAGGAGATGTGCGGGCCAATGCCTGTTTACAGGCACCCGCATCTCAAAGAAACTGATGCAGCTGCCTGAGGTTCATGCTTGCTGGGGACCTCAGGCAACCACATCTTGGCCTGACACCTGAAAACAAGACTCCAAAACCAGACAGTCCGGGTATACCCGGAACGGGTGGCAACCCTAAGCTCTGACCCACCCTCCCCCAGAATCTCAATATTAGAGGAAATGCCCGACACTGAAGAATCATCACTTCTCCAAATGCAAATAGTGCTAAAATTAAGCCTTCGAGGGAAGCCCAAATTTTATGACTCCAAAGGTGCTCTGAGAAAATATGTAAATGGATGGGGAAGTTTAGTAAAATGTATGCTTAAAATTGATCATGTGTATACAGAACCAAGTTGTTAATATTGGTTGCAGATCTTTTCTAAAAGAATCACAGTAAAACAAATTGCATTAAATGCACTTCCCAAAGCCAAATCAACTTTGCCTCTGCTCAAAACTGTCAAGTATAGGTAATCTATTAGCAGAAATAATGAGTGCTTAACAGCCACCTCACGTAACACTTAGCAGCACTTATTTCCCATATCTTCTACTACTTGAGCTCTTAAAAAAGAAAGGATAGAAATGTATCGCTGGTATTTAACAGCTTTATTGCAAGGAAACAGCAAATGTTGCTAATTGTTTACATATAATGAGGAGAATAATTACATGCAGCAACTTCAATAATGGAATCTGCAAAAATCTATCAGCCATCATTATCGGAAGTTATTAGACATGACAGCAAATGACAGGCAATTCCTCAGATTTATTTCCTTGTACCATTTAATGCTATTAATTTAAAGAAGGTCGTTAGCCAAGCGCTTTGCTGAATAAAGTCTCGGTGCCAATTAACTGCTGTCAGCATCGATTGTAGATTATTTATTAGCAGAAGCAATTAGCTTGCTCCAAATGCTGTGAAAACTCAATAAGAGGAAAACATTTCGGAAACTTGCTTGCTTGTCTTTAAAGGTTAAAGCTTCATTTTCCATTAGGGCTGAAAAATCATTACTTCATTTCCTTTTGCTAGACTCATTGAAGCAGTGCTTGGAGCTCTGGCACCCCAGTATGCAACTGCAAAACAATCTGCACATGTAAATTTCTTTAAAGACTACGCCTAAATCTAGTGGATAAAAAGGGAACCAGTAAGAATGAACCTCACAGCACAGGCTCCCATACAGCAATGGATGGCCAACTTTCTGGTAAACGGGTGCTTAAAGCAGAAGTTCCCTAAATGAAAAAAATGCTATGAGGTAGACTAGTTAGGGAAGAAAATGCAGTCTCCTCTTTTTAGCAGTCTTTATTTTCCGTACAATACCCCGGGTGCATGGTTAATTTCCGGCATTTAAAAGATGTGGAAAATGGAGCCCTGTGCTAATTTAATGCCAACACACAGGCAGGAGAGAGAAAATACCCATTTCCTTGCTTTGTTAGCTGGTTGGATGAGTAAGGAGTCACTACCTCACTGATTGAAGCACACTGGAGTGCCCAAATTTGTTTATTTTCACAAAATGATCATGTGACTGATCTACAAGAGGATATTTTGTGAAACACTTAATTTCAAGAGATACCATTTATAATGGTCTTGATTTAAACGATGGCAGATAGCATTTAGATTGTAATGGTTCTAATAACGAACGAAGGGATCATTGGTAGTGATATTTAATTTTGAGCAGTCTATTTTATCTGTCACTGGGTGTTTTTTGCACCTTGAATAGTGCAGTTTGCATTGAGCAAATATTCTTTAACCCTTTCGCTGCCAAGCCCTCCGGAACATTTTTCAAATCAGCTGGCCAAGCCATTTTTGAATTTTCTGCAATTTTTTACCTATTGATTTGATTTTTTCATCCAAGTTACACACCTACATGGCTAGCCTCAAAAGCAGAACTAAAGAGTCAGAAGCTGATGAAATATTTAATTCAACAACCCTTTTAAGTGATTGTTACTCTAGTAACCAAATCATCACATTTTCATACTGGCTGCAGCTGACAGTCTTAGTTCAGAAGTGGAAAGGGAGTAATAACCAGGAATGTACTGCATTCAACGTGTGCCTTAGGACTATTTGCCTTATATAATTAAAGGGCCACTCTGGTCTAACAGAAATGCAGAATACACATTTAAAATAAAGGAGCAATGGAAGTATAAATACAATCAATTAACATGTTTATCCCATGTAGCAGCAATCAGTAATATGTATTCCAGTAACACTAAACAAAAAATAGAATACAGGTGAAACTCGAATAATTAGAATATCGTTCAAAAGTAATTGCAGTAAGTTCTGCAAAAGGGGCCCAAACCAAGTACTGAGTACATATGCATACTTGTACTTTTCAGAGGTCCGATATTGTTCTATGTACAATCCTTGTTTTATTGATTGCATGTAATAATCTACTTTTTTGAGGTTGTGGATTTGGGGTTCTTGGGGTTTTCATGAGCTGTAAGCCATAATCATCACAATGATGACAAATCACGGTTTGAACTATCTCACTTTGCATGTAATGAGTCTATCTCATATATTAGTTTCACCTTTTAAGTTGCATTAGTGAAATAAATGAACTTTGCACGATATTCTAATTATTCGAGTTTCACCTGTATATGTAAGCAAAGCTTTTCTTTAGTTTCTTCATTGGAGCACCAAAACAGGAAATGTGATCAACAACAAAAATGTGAAATGCCTGCCCTTAAAATATCCAATGTGATGCATCGACAGCCTGTTAAAAATGATTGAGCTACCTCAACACAATGCACGGCAACAGTCTGAATGAGTAGAAACGACCGTTTCTGCTGTGCGGTCGCACGTCTTTTGTCTAAGGAGCATGTTAGAAAACCAGCCGAGAATTGTACGATTTTCGGCTGGTTTGAACAGTGCTTGGGAGACAAATGCCGAACGGGCCGGTGTGCGCACGCGCACACTGCCCGTTCAGCATTGCGGTCATCGGAAGCCCACCCCTCAGGGGGGCGGGCTTGCGATGATCGAGAGTGCGATCTGCCTGTCCAAGATGGGCAGATCGTACGTTTTTTTTTTATCACTTTACAACCATCGCAAGACTAAGGTCTTGCGATGGTTGTACAGTGTATGGCCACCTTAACACTACCCCTCACACCAGTTAAAAATAAGCAATCCATCATTTACATGCTCATCAGCCCTGCATGGAGATCCTCTGCGTTGATGAATCTGTGCCTTGGCAAACAAGTCTATCTATCCAGCACATCCTCATTTCAGTGTGGTAGGGGTCCCCATTCAAAATTATGCTAACAAGCATGTTCAAAGGTAAACGTGAGATGACCCTGAAAAGAAGTCTGCATTGCAAACAAAATGCAGCATCAACTAAAAACATATGTTATATGACCCTTACTGCTCAGTCAGAGTGCATCCAGGGCCGTGCATAAATGTAAAGCACTGATGTGCGGAAAGATCTGTACAGCCTCTGCATCTTTCAGTCTCTGTACAGAACACCTGAGACTCCAGAGTACAAACTCATGCATGGCCCTCTGTGGCAGTAAGAATAGGCCCTCAATAGTGGTCCAACAATGAACATGCAAGCGAACATGTAAAAAAAAAAAAGAAGATGTGCCTACACTGAGGGATAAAACTACCATCTCCCAATACCACACTATTTTATACTTTTTGTTAGATTCCATGTTGTGTAGATGTGGCCAAAAAAGAAGTAAAGTTGGGGGTGGGTTAAATACAGCCCTAAACATGTGGCAGGTACACCTGAAGCATAGCTGCAGCTGGAATAAATGTGGTAAATAACCTTAAATAAAGCTAATAAGATAGGAAAGACAAGACAAAAACATCTACTTACAATCTTCTTCTTCTTTGCTCTTAACTCTTCCAGTGCCTCATCTGCAAAAAACAAAAGACTACCAATGAATTGTCCAATTAGAACAGATTAACTTATAACTGAGAGCACTGGTTGTCAACTTACAGAGTATAAGGCAAAAGGAAGGAACATAAATCACTAACTAATGCTGGAGCAGTGATTCTCAACCTGTGTAACCCCCAGACCCACATTTGTCGTTGGCCATTAAGTCGTGACCCAAGTCGTGCTGCAATGGAACGCATGGCATTGCTGTACAGTGCATTCCGGTGTGGGCAATTGAAATGCGGTAGGGAGGTGGTTGTGGGAGGTTGCGTGGTACAGTGCAATATTTACACAGGACTGTTCGATTAACGTACTGCACTAGTGTGAACTGGCCCTCAAAAAAAACACACACACAATGTCAGACAGTCTCAACCACACATACACACTGCAAAATAATGTTTTGTTTCTTTTTTTAAGATCCACCCAGTGTCCCTACCTTACGAGAACTGTAGTGAATCCTCAGCCTGGGGGTCCAGTGTGGACTGCTGTGCTGTGACGGAGCTCCTTCCATATTTGCATTGCTTGTACAGCTCCCTTACCATTCCCTGTAGAGGTGCCAGAATGTGACGTCACTCCAGTCCAGGCACCTCCACAAGACATGCAAGGGAGCTGTAAGCAATACATGTATGGAAGGCACTCCCTCGCGGCCATAGCCCTAGCCCACCCCACTTCAAGCTGACACTTGGTGCTGGGCAGCATACTTTAAATGGCAGCTAGGTGTGAGAACTGACAATGCTGCGTTAGGGGGAGGCTGAGGAGAAAAGTGGAAGGCATGCGGCGACCCACTGAACATGAGGTCGCGACCCGCTTTTGGGTCACGACCCACCAGTTGAGAACCAAGGTGCTAGAGGACTCTGAGACTAAAGACATACTAGATGAAATAATGAGGACATGCTGCAGAAGACACTTAGAAACTGGGGACATGTTACATGAGGCTAATCATCACGGTTACCACCCATTTACAAATCATTGCTCCCACTTTACTACAGACTGCTGGGGTCAAGGGCCACATAAGTATCAAAGGAGTGGCAGTTTGAGCACCAGGGAATTAGGAGTGTGTAGAAAAATAGATAAAGCATTTATCAAGCATAGAATTCCCTTTAGAAATTACAAGGTACCTGCCAAATAGCTTAAAGTAATCCCACCCCAGTATGTTACTGACCAACAGCAAGTACAGGTGTGGTAACATAGGAAGAAACACAAGATGGATTCAAACTTGCCATTTTTGTGCATTAACGCATGTGTTTTGTGTCATGCGTTAATGATGAATGGACCAAAATGACTACCAAGGCACCAACTGGCTCTGTGCAGGCACAGCCAAAGAAAGGATCTTCATGCCGAAACATCTGAAGGTAACACTCACATGCTGACTCTTAAGCTTCACCCACCGTTTTGTTTCAGCTATAGAAGATTAAAAAGGTGCCCCCCCATCAGATTAAAAGACAGTAAGGCTTTGTATTGAATTTAATATGCAACTAACATGGAGGGAAAACAAATACTTACTATTTCTTTTGGTACGTTTGGAGAACCATACAATGAGAACCGTTCTTGCTGCCCATATTCTGTTTAAAATGAAGGTCTAATAATTATTCAGTTCTTAGTAATCAGTAATCAAAGTATTCACTAAATGGACAAGATATTTCTTAACCCTTTTGTTTCATATCCCATTTCCTGTTAGCTTAAAACATCAGATCATGCTGCAGTGACATCAGTACATTCAGTGTCACTATTCCCCAACAAGCATGCAAATCAGGCATCCCAAATTCTTTATGTAGGTCTGTTCTGGGTCCGAGACGTACAAAACTGAAGCCAAAAGAAAAAGATTTATTTATTTATTTTTTTACAAGTCAGCAATTTCTCAGTATGTGTTCCCCATTAGGTTTAATATCGCAGAGAATCCGGGCCACATATACAAATATATATAGGCTGCTGAAATTTTCAAATGCATCCTAATAGTTTCATTCTCTGAAACTGGGAGTGCAGTCATTAAGTAAATCAGCTGATCTCCTAAATTTGTTCCTTCGTTACATTAAGATCAATGGAAGCCAATAGAGCCCATGGGGTCTCTGTTTGCCACCACTGCAGATAGCTAGAAAGTGCACACAGAGCTTACCCTTTGTTTATTTAAATGTTGGCTGTTAAAAGCTTAGAGAGCCCACGAACACTGAAGCACATTACCCGATAACTCCTTTTCCAGGAATCCTCCAGGACAGCTGACTACAGATGGCTCCACCCACCTTTAGGAAAGACTAGAGAATTTCAAAGGGCTCCAAGGAGCCAGTAACTTCAGTAGTAGCAAGAGAACTGCACTTTTACTAAGGTTTAATGAAACAGAAAACCACAAGGGAGGGAACTCCTGTAGGATCCCTGGAAAAAGGAGTTATCCAGTAACAACTTAGGTTGTCTTGGATGGCGGATTGAAGAAAGCAACATGATGTAACCTAGGCTGAACTACTGCTTAAAAGCACTAGCCCCCTGACAGTTTTCTCCTGGCCATGGCATGTCACTATGGTAGTATGTCACAAAAGTGTTAAAGCTTGTCCCTGTGGCTGCTCCTCCACTGAGGCACTGGCCCTCAGCATGTAGACAGAGACCTTGTGAAATTCAGAGTTAGGACTTACCGGTAACTCTATTTCCATTAGTCTTCCAGGACATGTGTAATCCTCAGGTGACAGGCTGACCTGCCCAGGCATAGGCCATTAAAACAGCTATGCAGAGCTATCATTCTAAGGAGGTTTGTGTGCCCTTACACCATCCACTTTCCATGTTTCTCAGTTCATGGGAAAGATTAAACAACCCCCCTAAGGCAGAGCAGTACACCGCCACCTGTTGAATTCGCAAGCAATGAACAGGACACAGAATCTCCCCCATATGAGAGCTCACCTGGCTAGGAAACATGCAAGGGCCAGTCTTAGTACAGGGGGAAAAATGCCCCAGGAGTCCCAGAGGCCTACCATACACTGTTAAAGGTTTGGTAGTCTACTTTTTGCTGGTCTACCCTCATAATACACAGACAGCATCCTTTGTCTGGTGAAAGGATCAAAATTCTATGTGATATTCTGTGGGAAGAACCCTGACCCTTTTGAAGTCTGGTTTGGATCAACTTTTGGACCTGGGTATCATTGAGGGATATTTCTCAGTGCTTGTGGTCTTATCCAAAGTCTAGTGTTGTAGAGACAACCAAAACGCTCGATGCTCCAGAACACTGTGCAGAAGATGCGATTCCAATAGCAACCAAGTGCCCAGCACTGACCAGGTGTCTAGGACCTCTCCAGAGCCTGGAGCTGGCATCCGATGTGAGGATCGCTTAACTCAATGCCAGGTCTGGATTCCTGGGCCCCCAGGCCAGAAAAGCCTGGGTCTGAATATCAGACGAGTCATTGTGTAGAGACTAACCCAAGCTGTCCCATGATGAGAAAATTTCAAATGCAGGGCTGGAGTGGAGCTAAACAAATGGGACTGCCTTGAAGGAGGCCCAGCATTCTTAAGCAGAGTCGCAAGAGTCATGCAGCTCCCAGACTGTGGCTCCCTAGGTTCTGACGAAGAGGACATTGCCCCAGAAACAAGCTGTCAGAGTCTGCCATGCTAGTAACAGGATGTTCGCTCCAGACTGCATGTCTTTGATGTGATTGTCTTCTGATGTTCTCACAGTGCAGATACACTTCTGCAACTACAAGCTTTCTTAACGCCGGCTGTTTGCGAGTACATTTCTTGCTTTTAACATTTCCACTAGAGAAGCGCCGCTGTTCTTTTGTTCCCTATGTGCTAGAGCTTAAGACACTGTTAAAAGTGCTGCCCTTCTGTGAAAAGTCGTGGTGTCTATACCAATATGGAAGACGAACTTTGGCGCCAGTGACATTGTTGATTGACTTTTGTGATTGGTGCAGAACATAGCTGTACCTTTTCGTTTGGTACAATCCATACTCTTCACATCACATAGTTGGCCTGAGCAGAATAACCCATCAACAGGAAGTTGTCCTGAAATTCCATGTGGAAAAAGCCCGGCAACGTCGCAAAGGCTATCACTAGGGCCAGTACCTTAGGGTAAACTGGCGTCTGGGTGTCAAGTCAAAAGATATGCATCCTTGAAGTCCAGGGGGACCAGGAAGGCGCCCTGATATAGGGAGGCTGTAAGGTCTGGTGGATTGTATGCAGAACCTTCGACCCGAGGGAAAAGCCCTAAAAACCTTTCCAAAAATGTAGGGACATGGGCATAACTGCTTGATCCAAAATAGCACCATGGAGATGAGCTTTTCTGGAGACACAGGCAGCAGAAGACATATGATGCTGCAAGACTATCATTATTCCCTGCAACTCAAAGCAAGATTAACGTGCCTTTGTTGAAAGCAAAACCCCAGAACAGCATAATCATAATTTCCTGCTTCCATTAAATATTCCCATATACTGAGAAACCAGACCACCCTACATGTCCTTTTATGGCCATCAGTCTGGGCTGCAACAGATCTAAAAAATTACATGGGGCCAAAATCCCACATGGTAAGAGAGTCAAAAGTTTAAAGGTGAGTTCTGCATACACCAAAAGATGCATTTTATCATCAGGCTGCACAATATCCAAGCAGATATTAGTTGGGAAAGCCCAGAGCATACAAGGGTTTATTAATCGGCAGAGAAGATAAAACACTTTCTTGGCTAAACTGACCTCTGTATATACGATGAAATTTAAACTTTCCATTTGCAATGCAAACGGAATACCTTCCCCCCCACCCCCCTTCAGTAAAAATACCTATTTGCCATTGGTGATTTGTCCATGCAAAAACCATGAAATACAAACTTACAATGCGGGAAAAAGCAGAAATGGAACTAAAACCAGGAGTTTTGCTGGCAATCCATCAGGAAGATACCACTTGTAAACAACCAAAAAAGTCACCAGGTACAAAATGATGGAATACAGAAGCAGATTTCCAACCCAAATCTTCCTCAGCTTCTGGTTTTTATCCTGGAACTCTTCCAGAGACTGAATCTCCTAAAAAAGGTAAGATTTTAAACATTAAAAATCATTACAACATGTAATAATGCAAAACACAATCTTGCACTGTGACTACAAAATCATTTTTTTAAAGAGACAGAACGATCATTGGCTCACAAAAGAAATAGCAGCACAGACTCAGATGTTAAAGAATAAAACGATAAACATCCTTTGGCTACACAAAAACATTAATTTTACTTAAGGTCCCTAATTTGAAGTTTGCCTTTATATTTTGGAGAGCTGTGCTACACTTTAGATATTACATGGCAATGCACAAAGGAAATCTGTGCTTTGAAGTACAGAGGCTACCGTTCCTTAAATCGGCCTTTAAAAATAAAATGGTTATACTGATTTATCATCAAATAACTTCTGGACTTAGCCATCGATATAAAAATAAATAAATATGCAGATTAGGTATACCAACTTCACTCTGACATACTATACTTGTACAGGGTCACAGATATCCAAGCAAATAGTATTTTTAGGACAGCAAGGTAACATATTTCTAACACAGGTTTCCTTTAAGATGAGAGCAAAAAATCGGTTTACATTTTGACAGGCCTGGGAAAAATAGCACCATTTATCCAAACCCAGTTTGATGCTCCCTCAAATCAGTGAAGTGCTATTGAGAGTATCTAACATTTATCAGGAGCAGGGGAAAACGGTGAGGTTTTTTTTTTTTTTTAATCATTGGTATGTCTTCATTTCAAGTCACCTCATTCAGCTCCCTAATAATTTTTTTTGTAAAGCCAATACACATAAAATTGTATTCTGTTAGTGCAAGGGAAACAGGACAGATCCAGCATTGACCTGCTCAATGACAGAGTTCACAGGAAATTCTGTTGGCCTCAATTTGGGGAGCACTGCACAACACTCTTCTATAGGGCATTTTTATTGAGCAAGTTCACAAATCCATGGGCCAACGGATTTTATTAACAGGTTTGAGAGACATAAGATTTTACACTTCTGCTTTTTGACGTTGTGAACAAGGTTACTTTACAGTTTACTAAAATAGGTGCCAATTCTCTACATTAAACTTAAACTTCAAGCAAGCAGCTAAACAGACAGTAGAAAACATACAACGAACAGTTTTAAATGATCACAAAATGATTTGCAAAACATAACAGCAAGTCTTGGGATTCAAGAACCACTGCCAGGCAGCATAACCAGGTAATCGGCCTACAGTGCATGCATAGGATAGCTTTGTCAATACCATATCCCCAGCCCAGGTATTGCACAATAAAGGCTCAGCAGTACAGTGATGAGGTCACCATTCCCGTATACAGTCACAGCTTTTGACTGGCTCAGTGCAAGACCCAATTGTGCTTTCTGGCAGCTCTCCCTCCAAATAACAAGATCTGCCCAGGAGATGAATTACTCCTTTGGCACGTAAAATAGAATATTTGACTTACATGTAAAATAATTTTCTTTGAATACAATACAGTATGCCGGATCATTATTAACCATGAGTTCTACCACACCTTGAGGTAACTGGACTCCAGCAAAAAAGCTGCAAGGACAGCCCTGGTATAACCACTGCCACTCTCAGCAAGCCTCGGTTTTGTGTCAATAGAAGGGTGAAACTTGTGTCTCCTTAACGCCCGCCCCCGCCAAAAAAAAAAAAAGGCCAAAATGTCTCTTAATTACATAGTACAGGATACATGATCAGCCTTAACCATGAGATGTCCACAAGCATTCCAACCAATGGGAGGACAATAATGCAACCAAACATTAGCAGGCCCACACAGCAACAGGTCAAGAGAACTTGAAAATCCACCTAGCAATGGAGGAACGAGAAGGAAGACCCATACAGGGAACTTCTGGAAGGACAAAGAGGGAATTTACTTGTCAAAAAGAAAAAGATAGAGAGGTAGACTCTCACAGCATGCACTACATACAGACAGTGGATGCTGAGTGAGCAGAAAGCAGTCCAAAATAAAATAGCTAGGGCTAAAATTTGGCCCTGAAATGGTGCTTAAGGCCAATAGATCAGTCCCATAGGACCTGGGATTCAACAGCCAAGCCATTAAAGCTATGGACCAAGAAGCAGGATGGTGGACTGGCCCGTGTTAAAGAAGATCTGGATAGTCTGGAAGAATGAATGGAGAGCTTGCGTATGCCTAAATACAAGCTCCTGGGCCAGTTCAGTACCATAAGGATCACCAGGATGTCCTCCCATCTCGATCCTGCGGAGACTTGTCCGTCCTTTCTTCACCATCTCAGAGTGCCTGGATAGACACCTGGGGCAAACCAGAGACTGAGTCAGTCTTTCTCACACTGCCAGAATCTTAAGTTGCAATGGCCTGGAGTGAAACTGGGCATATGTTACTGCCTCGAACAAGGCCATCAGACCCAGAACCCTTCCTTGCAAAAACAAATAGTGGTACATTTCTTGGCCTAAATGGTCCGAGCCTGTGAGCTCAGGTACAAAAACGTTTGTCCTTGGGGAAAAAGAAGAAAAAAGAAGAAGAGTTAGGACCGGGTCTATGTCATTACAGTAGAAATAGTTTGCTTTAAAAAGAAAAAAAAAAATTACCAACATCGCACACACCCAAAATATATGGCCTTTACCATCTGAGCAGTTTTCTAATCAACCTGATGGCCACACAAGTCACTGTGGCAATGTTTGTATTTTAACTTGCAGCAACAGCTAGAAATTTTAGCTGAACAAAGGCTATATTTAGAACACTTGTTGCATTAATACAAAATGCTTAGAGTACATGACAGCATGCATTGATAATGAAGCAATTTAGATTGTATTTCCTCAAGAATTACCAAATGCAAGTTATTTTCATATTTGCAGGAAAACACTTGGTTATAACCAATATGTGAAATGTAGAGATCTCGAAATCTAGGTGCCCAAAGCAAGACAACCGAAAACCAGAGCTACTCAAATTAAACACTTAACTAAATAAACTAGGGATGCACCGATACAAGCATCGGTATCGGCGGCGATACCGAGTATTTGCATGAGTACTCGTGCAAATACTCGATACAAAAAACGAGTACCTGTGCCGCGTCCGCCATCTTCAGGGACCCGAATCCGCCGCACACAGGACCTCCATCGCGTCTTCAATGAAGCAAGATGGCCGCGAACTCCTCCTCCAAGTCCTCAGTCATCTGCTCCATTCTGACCTCTTCTCCCGCTGATTGGCCGATTGGATGATTGACAGGCTACCTCACCAGTCAGGAGTGACTGGTGAGGAAGCCTGTCATCATCCAATCGGTGGGAGAAGAGGTCAGAATGGAGCAGATTACTAGGCTGTGACACGGAGTGGCTGAAGCAGACGGAGAAGACGACACAGCAGGTTAGTACTGCCGCACCTCATGGGGCTGGGCACAAAAATGCTGTTTATCGGCATATATTTTTAAAAAAGAAAATAACTACCGTGTTTCCCCGAAAATAAGACAGTGTCTTATTTTTTTTTTGCAGGAAATAAGACACTAGGTCTTATTTTCGGGGGATGTCTTACCTGGCTGGGGAAGGAGTGGACGAGGTCCCAGAAGGCGGCGTGCTGTTGCCGGTCCCGGCGGATGTCGCTTCCATTGTGCGTCCAGGAGCTGCGGGCGGGAGCTGCGGCTGGCGTGTGGGCGGGGCAGGAGCTGCGTGCGGGAGCTGCGGCCGGTGGGCGTGCGTGTGGGCGGGGCAGGAGCTGTGGCCGGCTGGCGTGTGGGCGGGGC